ATACATACATGCACATATGTACAGACACATAAGTATAGTGTATGTGTATATATATATATATATATATATATAATACAATAGAAGAACATCTTTTTACATTTTATACAACTAACAAAGAAATTACAATTTTTCAAAAAAAGTTTATTTATAAACACAATACAATTTATAAATCAATTAAGTAAATGATATATTTATTGTACTATATCTAGATCATGTCAGTTTCTTTAATCTATTATCTATTATCTAGTAACAAAATTTGTAATGAAGGTTGTAATTTAACATATCTTTCTAACAAGTTCATTGTTATTTTGTTTACAATAAAAATTTTCTTCTAACGTTAATTATTTATATCATCGTTAAGGATTATAGAATAGGACTCTAATTATTCTATTCTACTCCAAACTGACTACTATGCACACACACACACACACACACACATACACACACACACACTCACTCACTCACTCACTCACTCACTCACTCACTCATACATAAATACTTTATTACGTATCTCATCACACCATCAGGCCTCCGTTTCTTGCTCTCCTTTCTACTTTTTTATACAAATATAAATAAACTGCCCATTTGCAAATACTTATCGGATCGATCAAACTCGATCATTGGAATCTGTTGGAATCTTTTGCTGCTCGAACGCTGTTGCCATGAAAGATTATTAAAAAATCAGCTGTGACAGCTGGATACCCAACCCTTAATTCGCAAACACAGTAAAATAGTAAACTTCAAGTCTTAAGGAATTGACCAATCATAGTCGATTATTCTTCTCACATTCAACTGTGATTGATCAATTTTTTAAGATTTAAGGCTTACTATTCTATTGTATGTGCGGACTTGGAGTTTAGAACTTTCACTTGTCACACTTTCTGAAGGAAGAAACATAAAAAATTCCCACTAGATCCATGTTCCACAAAATCTATTACAGTAATTAACAAGACAATCTTAAATCCTGCTGTGGAAATCGTGGAAAAGATAAAGATAATTCGTGGAGGAAAGAAAGTGCGAGATGTAACGCTTACCGAACCTTGTTTTATCTCTCAGGTGTAGAATACGCCGAGGAGAATGATGATCAGCTCGGACATTCCTCTCGTCGGTTGACGTGCGCCATGCAGGATAGAATTATCATACGCTATATGCACGAGCTGTTATCTGAGGTGGTGCTCGAATTTCGCGACTTCCGCCTCGATAAAGCGCTATCGAACCGTAACGGCGCGCGATGACAGTGATCGTTTTTCATTTCTTGGTTAGCTGAAGTACGCACGCGAGCAGATAATCCTTGGTTCACCACAATCCTTGGATACGTGTGATCTGCGGCACAGTGTCCCGATTCGACATTTCGACATTCGATATACAGGATTATGAATTCGACCGAGAATCGCGGTCACAAGGACGACACGATTAACGGAATTTGACGAGATCCACATCATCAGCGAATTTCAGAATTTTCCCAGGTCCAGGAAAAAAGAAACGAAATGGGAGACCATCGGCAACAGTTGGACTACTTAATCAAGTGGTTGGCTACCTTCGACCTCCAAGCGCCACATAATTCTGTAGAGGAGATAAGCGACGGTGTTGCTTTAGCCGAAGCTTTAGCTAAAATCGCACCAGAATGGTTTACAGCGGTGTGGAAGGCGAAGATCAAGACCGATGTGGGCACCAACTGGCGCCTTAGAGTGAGCAATATGAAGAAGATTGTAGAGGCTGTGATGGAGTATTATGTGGAGTGTCTGAACCAGCAACTATCCAACTATGTTAAGCCGGATGCGACCAAGATAGGTGAGCACTGCGACAGCGACGAACTGCGCCGCCTCTTGCAGCTGATCCTCGGTTGCGCCGTCAATTGTAACCAAAAGCAGCTACTCATCACCAGAATAATGGGTATGGAAGAGACGGTACAGCAGGTGTTAATGCAAAGTATCCAGGAGGTGAACTTCGAATCTCTAGTACCAGATGTACCAGACAGTGCTCAACAGAGACTCTATGCTGATTTCCAGGCGGCAGTAGACATGAGAGATCAGCTGGCACAGAAATGCCACGAGCTCGATCAACAACTTTCTCTGTTGCAAGAAGAGAAAATCGCATTAATCGCAGAGAATAAGAAACTCCAAGAGCGGCTGGACGAGTTTGAGAACCCAGAAGAATCCTTTAAGTATTCCGAGCGGAAACAAGTGGAAGCATTGAAGGATGAACTGTTCAAGATGGAAACATCCAGGGATGATTATAGATTGAAGGCAGAGTTATTGGAAAAGGAAAATTTGGAGCTGCAGTCGAGGAATGAGAATTTACAAAAGGCAGCTGACGAAAGAAATCACTTGAAGGACGAAGTGGATGCTTTGAGAGAATACAAAGACAAGGTAGAAAGGTATGAAATCATGATAGAATCGTATAAAAAGAAAATAGAGGACGCGAGTGACCTTAAGAGACAGTTAAAAATATTGGAAGATAATAGTAAAGAAAATATACAATTCAAATTTAAGTATGAGGAAGAAGTTAAGCTTACAACAAAGCTGCGTAATCATCTGGAATTATGCAAGCAACAGCGCACAGAAGCCCATCACAAGCTGGATGAAAAGAGCAACAAGTGCGATCGACTGGAGTTTGATTGCAAGAAAATGGAAGCAAAGCTGGGCGCTGTAGAGAGGGAGAGAGATCGGCTGATTGTCGAAAGGGATACCCTAAAAGAAATGAACGAGGAATTGAAGTGCATGCAATTGCAAGCCACCGAGAACATGGCAAAACCCAGCGCTGATAGCACCAGTGTTTCCGGTTCGGAAATGATGCCATTTGAGGTAAAAGAAAAATTATTCTGCCTGCAGATGGAGAACAAGATGATGAAGATAAAGTTGAATGGCAATGAAGACAAGCTGCCGAATATACAAGCATTACTTGAGGATTCTGAGGAACGTTTTAACACAAAGCAAGAACAACTTCGCAAGGCAAATCAGAGGATAATGGAATTAGAGACCCAATTGGAAGAAACGGTGGGTACTCAAGTTAGCAGCAGTGACAACGTAAGTCCGAATCAGAAGCTGTCGCAACTGCAGGACGAACTGCGGAAAGTGCAAGCTGACAAAGAACGACTGACGCTGCAGCTCGAAGAACGTGAAAGTGCTTTGCAGACTCAGAAACAGGAAGCTTTCGCTCTTCAGGAGAAACTCACGCGGAAGAAGTATGAGAATGCCGCGCTGGAGGAACGCCACAAGAAATATATTGAGAAGGCCAAGAGTGTCATAAAAAGCCTCGACCCGAAGCAGAATAATTCTTCGCCGAACGAAGTCATCATGTTGCGCAATCAGCTGATGGAGCAGCGTAAGATGATCGAAGACATGGAACGTTCCATGAAAGAATCCAGATTGCTGCGAGAGATGGAGGAGAAATTGATGGTGACTGCCTTTCACAGATTGGGCGGGAATTGCCACAGAGAGGTGATGGATCAACGCCTCGCGGCGCTTAGTGCGGGACAGGGTCAATCTTTTCTAGCCAGACAAAGGCAACCGGTGTCGAGACGTTATCCGCCTTATAACTCGAAATAAGGAAACGAACAAAAATAAGTTGACTTGACGTTTAAGTATTATTATCATATAAAGTGGTAAATGGTTATTTGAAGTGATATTCTCAATAGTGCGATAAATATGATATCATATATTTGAATTCATGAACTTGATCACAGATTTATTCAACTGCCCATTTATTCAGCATCATATTAACTCGTACCATAATATTAAAATATCACATTTATCTCCCTGTTACGATTATCTCAATTGATTGTATTTCTTTCGATGTAGATACAATTGAATAATTCTGAGCAAAAATGAAATATTTCCACTTTTTAAGTAAGTAAAAAGATTGATTTTTTACGAAATCTTGTGGAGTTAATAATATAGAAACTTCTTACAAATTGTTAACAAATTGTTGTTTTTTCTAATCATTTTTATATTATGTATCCAGCCAATTTTTTGTCTTCCTATGAATATAATGTAATTTTAACATTTGAGTTTTCAGATTTTCATTCAATAAAAAGATTTTCTAACTATTAGAGATGTGTCAACATGTTCCTATATCTTTAATGAGTATGTAAAAAATAATCGCACAAATATCTCCAACAGTTAGAAAAGCAAACTAAATTTTTGTACTAGAATTGTATCTATATTGCGAAGATTTACCATCATTATCTTATCTCAATCAGATTTTCAATAAAAGATATACACATATTAAATTGTAAATAAGATTATATATAGATATTGGAATGTTTTACTTCGTTAGACTAAATATTACACAAGATGTTGAATATTCTGTAATATTTTAGAAATTTTATCCCATGTAGAGATATTTTAAATAATACCTTATATCGAAGAACACTTATCGTTTGAGTATAGTATTGTATATATTTACAATGTTGACGCTTCTTTCAACAGAGTTATTGACACTAAATGTACATTCATAAATATTGTTATTTGCTTTGTGCAGTAATACATGATAAACCAAATTATTGTAAATAATGTATACAGCGTTCTATACACATTTCTTGACTTTGAAAAATATAATATACATATAAATTATATAAATATTGCAACGCAAAAAATTCATATATTTATATCTTTGTAATCACGCGCGTTAATATTATTATGATTAACATTATTTATTTCACATATGTATAATTTATGTTATATACATTTGTTTTACAATTTTATTTTACAAATCTCCAATGCACATGGCAATGAAGAATAACTGGAAAACTAATGTATGGAATGTACATACAGAGATAATCATAAATGCGCTATATTAACATATGACATGTGGATGATATAGAAGCGAATTTCATCAATATCTATACGGTTATGATGCGACGTTTCAGAAAACAAATATTTTATTGTAATAGAAAAATGTTTGTTGAAATTGTTATAATTCATTATTAAATTTTTTTTATTGGCAAGATTGGTTGTTCGATAAATTACTTATATCTAACTTATACATATTTTTCTGTTTCATCTGTTCTTTTAATCTCTTCATAAGTATGAATTTATTTTACATGTCATTTTATACGAAAGAAATATGAGAACGATTCTGTACAAGTAAAAATTCTAATAATTGTTCAAATGTTTCGATATTAGATCTTGATCAATTTATATATCCTAAAGACTTCATTATTTCTTGTTTTCTAAAACATCTTATGTAATTGGAAGTATCTGTAGCTATCTATCCCTGAGTTTATGATACTATAGACGTATCAAAACAAATATTTGTATAAATTTTGACATTAATTTTCACATATAATTGTCTTTGTTTAATCGCTTGACTAGTTCTTATACATATGATTACAAACTGACATATACATATACATATATTTGTAATGGTAAATTTTTTAATTTTGATGATGCCAACAAGAGTACAATTTAATTGCTATAATAATTTGGCAGACAAATTCAAAATAGAATCAAATTACCTGGGACAAATATGATAAACTACATTATAATGGAAAGTTGATTTTAAGAAAATATATGCAACATTTTCAGCATATTTCATTCGACACTTTATCTAATAGAATAACATTTATTTATTTCTAGGATTGAACTGCTGATAGATATATTGTTTCGATTGCCATGTCACGTTTGTTATGTAACTTATCAAGATACATAGATACTCTACTATTATGCATGATTGGTTTTAAATTGTTTCTATTTTTCTGCAAGTTAGGATAACATTTCTGATAATAAAAAATTGCACTAAGAAAATTCCATATATTGAATTCAGGCCACAATACTTCGGTAAAGTAGATACAAGTGTTGGAAATCTAAAAGAAATTTAGATAAAATTTTAAAATGCAGAGTTTTGCTTTGATTACAAGGAGAGATTCAAGTCACAAAAATAAAATAATTTTCTTACTTGCCACATGAGGAAATCGCTAAGTCGAGTTTCTCCGGAAGTACGAATTAATAAATCTGGATTTGGAGACTTGTAAGTGTATAAACAATCAGTAATCAAATCTTCATTAATATCTTCTGGTAAAATATCAGCATCCTTTACACCTTGTATTATATCCTTAATTGCATGAGTAATTTCATCCCTTGATATATTATATTAAAAAATATATAAATTATATATATTTTTTTTTAATTATATAGAATATAAAATATTTATTTATATATACATCACAAAATTAATTGTCCAGAGAGTACATCATTATATCAATGATTTTTTTTCAAATTGTTTTAGGCTGTGTCCTGGAAGCATCTGTTAGCATTATTGCATCATTCTATCTTAATTGTTTATGAGACATAAAACAAGAGGATGATAAAACAGGATGATGCAATAACGCTGATAGCACACTCCCTGAATGTAGTCTACATGCAGTGTAATATATAAAATCAAGTGTAAACATAGTTCATTGTAATTATACTTACATGTATAAGCAAAAGCAAGATTTAAAAATGCTTTATTATTTTCCCTAGTAATAGTCATAGCTTCAGCAACTAATTTACATAGATCTTCTGGAATCAGGGACAAATTGCCAATTACACGAATACATACTCCAACGTCCATCAATTTTTCCCTGGAAATTGTTTATATAAATTTGTAATAACATAATCTGTATTGTGTTGCAATGTGATACCTGATTCAAAAAATTTTAAATGTTATACATACTTCTCTTCTAAGAGACGCTTGAACTTCTGCCTTGCAAGGTCCATGAGACCATCAACTTCTTCTTTGCTACGTTTAAAATTTTCTATACTAAATGCATAAACTGTGACTTCTACAACACCGAGATCCATACACCAGTTTAACATCTCAGTCATTTTGTCGAACCTGTCGTAAATAAAATATAAAATATGAAATAAATGAACAATAGGCCAGTATATCTGCATTCTCTTGAAAAATACATACCCTTTTGAGTGTCCCTCTCCCTTTTGCAAGTTTTGTTTATTCGCGTAACGTCTGTTACCATCCATGATAAACGCCACGTGTTTAGGCACTTCACCGGTCTTAATGATCCTTAAAGCTAGGGATTGAAACCAATTCAAAGTGCATTCCTTTAGCCACGACATCGTATTTTAATTTAAATTTCACGTTCAGGTGTACAATCTGCGCTCGATTTTTCAATGTTCCAAAAATTTCTGTCACATTCACTATTCAATACTTGTCGAACACAAGATATATAATACTCATTAACACGATATCAGCTGCCAGTCATCATCTAACCTTCGAATCGTAATTTAAAAAATGAAATACACTGTCTTCAAGTTGTTTTCGTACATTTCCGTCATCGTCTTAATTACTCGCTTTATCTACATGTTAATTTGACCATACCGTCGATAATACATCAGGTTATTTTTAAGGTATCCTCAACTCCTAATTACTTCGAATGAAATACTGACAAAACCAGGCGCGGTTACTTGTAGCTCTCTCTCTCTCTTTCTTTCTTTCTCTCTTTTTCTCTCTCTCTCTCTCTCTTTCTCTCATCTAACGCGAATCAGGGACGTCGAAATAACTATCGTGATTATCAACGAACATCTTTTTCGTCGAATGGTCGAATTCGAATCGAACATCTGCGATCACCGGCGTCAACGATTTAAGATCATCTAACGATACCTTGTATACAATTAATTCAATTAAAGTGTGATACTGTGACATATTTCTTTAACATATGCAGATTGAAAATGCAATACAGAGAAAAAGAAATGGAGAAAAAGAATTGATTCAATGCGCACGACATTCGTGCGAGCGTAAGTAAAGCGTGAGAGCCCTTATTTTCCTATTCATTCAGCGCCACCATATTGGCCCTCCTCTCTCTCACGTGAAATGAGTTATAGGTGCAGGTGCGTATCGCGAAAATAGAAATGATGGATGCATTTCATTTCATGCATGATACGCATAATGTATCATTTTATCTTTCTTTAATGTTCAATGAACAAGGATAAAATGATATATACATCATGTGCAAAACGCACCTGATAGCGGATTCGAACAGAATGCGACTTTGTGAAAATAACAAATGTACTTCATTTATAATTAATCCACACATACATTATTCCTACATGCACTCTCATGTGATGAGCTTGTATGTTGTTTACACTTTTTGCACTCAAGATCTTCACTTTTCTCTCTCTCTCTCTCTCTCTCTCTCTCTCTCTCTCTCCCTCTCTCCCTCTCTCTTTCTCTCTCTTTCTTTCCAACACCAGAATATGCAATTATATTGTTTCAGTACAAAAATTTTTAAGAATTTTCAATAACACGAAATCTAAAATATGTATTCATACACACGTAAGAGTATCAATCATGAAACTTTATCCCTAGAATGGAAACTTTAACCGTTGAAATTAATGGAGAAAATTTTCACTTTTCACTTTTCATCCTAGAAAAAAAGTTTCATGATTGATCAAGGTTTTTTTGTTCGAAATCTTCAAAAATTGTTGCACTTAAAATGAGATAAATATATTCGAGCGTTGATGAGAGAGAGAAAACGAAGATGCTGAAAAGTATAAGCAATGCAAACAGACTATATTACATATGCATTAATACATATACATATAAATATATTTATACACACGCACACACACACACACACACACACACACACACACACACACACACATACACACACACATACACACACACACACACACAAAATTATATGTGTGCGCACTTTCGCTAGCCTATACATACATACTGCACGTGTCGTCCTGGCCGTTTTCGCGATTGCGCCATGTGCACATTTTCTTTATTTCTCTCCTTTCCCAATTCTTTAATTATCATGCAGCTGCAACAAACAAAGAGATTCCGTAAAATTCCGTCCTATAATTACACATAAATCTAATCTGCAACGATTGCTCGAGAACGATCGCAATCGCGTACATCTGATACAATAAATTATGATCTTACTCGAATCAATACGCATTGCGTTTCCCAATGCAGGTCGATGTGATCTTTCACAATATTTGCCTTACAGATTTATACATACTTATTAATTACATTCGAAAGTTGTATAAATCAAAGATATACGATGAGGCGAGCGATATGAGCGATAGTAATTTCATTTTTAATGTAACTTTAATACATAATTTTTCTTTAGTTTTCTTGTGGTCTTCATCGCTCATCGTGCACAGGCATAATAATCTTCTTTTTAAATAAACTTTTAATTCGTTCCATGATGGAGATATTACATGCAGGAGAAATCATTGCTGGATTATGCAACATTCGTGTTTTTATTCACATTACTTTTCCGTCTTGTTTCGTTTCTATAAAACAAATTATACGATTTACAATTTTGTTTCGATCAAATTCATGATTCGCGAGACCAATCGCGAGACATTTTCAAGCGTGGCGCGCTCAATGGCGGATTCATCGTTTCGCTGATAGGCTCCCGGATGATGTAACCTGGATGTTCGCCATGTTTTCCCGTAACAGTCGTGTGAGGCATAAAATTTGTCCATATGGCCTTGCAAAATTATTAGAAATCTGATAATCGATCAGTTGGACGATACGCAGAAATTGCCGATTTATGATAGTGAAAGCCAAAAAATTATCATGTGAGACAAGGGAGAATGTGAGTTGACCGGGCCCCATGGCACTTGTGTAGCGTGATAGCAGTTACGCTCCTGTCCGTTGGACGGCGCGGCGCACCGCCATTGGGGGACTACTTCGTGTCGAGTAGGCAGAGTGCGCGTGTGCAGTGTGCGCGTTGCGGTCTCTCAGAGACAGAGTAGAGAAAATGAACACCACGGTGGTTATCGCGGCGCTAGAAGCCGTAAGCCCAATGTTACCGTCGTCTGTAAGTGAATAGGAAATCGATCGGATCGGCCGTGATGGAGGGCAGCGCGTCCAGGATCGAGTCCGGAATTGCACCAGGTAAACGCGGATAAGCCGTAAACGGTGAAGCGAAGACGACACGGATGAGCGTGTTGCCGTATACCGTCGCGCTGTTACGTTCCGCCGTCACTAAAGGCGCCCTGTGCATCTCTCTTTTTCCAGAGCTGTACTTCCTGATCGTTAAGTTTCTCGAATCGGGTATCTGTCCGGAGGCTGCGACGGTAAGTGAACGACGTTATGAGTCCATCTTCCATATCCGCGTACTAGCCTTATGATCGCGTCACGCGAACACTCAACGCGCTTTGTTTCAGATACTGAAGCGGGAACTAGAGCGTACTGAGGTAAGCCGTACGGCGGGCCCGACACTGTATACAACGCGACTCGCGGACCACATGGCTCGCACGTGGTTTCTGCTTGTCAAAACATTAGAATCTCAAGGTCACTGACCTTGGTCGATCGCGAGGTATCGCGGCCACTCACCGTGGCACGATCAGCGCCCCTGCCGATCGTGCTCACCCGATCGATCGGCATAATTTTTTCCCCCCTCCCTCCCCCTCATCCCTTATATGGATTTTAGATCATCCCTCTGTTCGCAGGTACTACCGGCACGAATCGATTGGGAGGGCAACGTGCATAGTCAGTCGTTCGAGGAATTGGTGAGTATAGCACGGCATCGTCGCGACATGGCGATCGGTATGGCGAAGCGAGTGTGGGCCCCTTGAATCGCCATGCGACGCGAGTCCCTCGGGCCGCGTCGCAAGGTGGTTCGATGAAATTATGCGCCGAGCGCACGGGAGTATCTCCGTCGATCCGCGGGGGGGTTGCTCTACCCCCTTTTGATCCCACCGCCTTCGCAGTGATTCCTCTCGCGTCGCTCATTCCCTCTCTCTTTCTCTGTCTCACATTCGTGCTGTGACTGTTCGCCACAGTTCCCCCACCACAGCCATCCGTCGGCCAATCACGGCGCGCTTCCGGCCATTTCGCGTGAGCTGATCAATGAATATAGATATTCACAGCTTATTTACGAAGTACATTCTCGTGTGTGTGAAGAGTGAGCCGCGCTGATTGGCTGGAGCGTCCGTGCGCGAGTATCAATTGGCCCGACGGTGGGAACTACTTGATCGTTCGAATTTTTCGCGCGATGTCGTTATCAGTTAGATAATTCTAATTGATTTTAATAGTAATTAGAGAACATTAATTTTCGATTTTGTGCGGTACTATTTTTTTTTATTACAATTATTTTTTAATGAACAATGAGAAAATGCTCAAATGATTTGATGATTATGAATCAAATAATTAAACAAATTATGACCTAATTAAATTACTTTAATGATTACTTTAACGAATTGACTCGTAGCTCTTTGTTTAATTATTTAATTCTTAATTAATTCTTGAGTTTTACACATCTGGTATAAAGGATTCAGAACATATAATGTTTAAATAAATGCACATTTTGATTATTAAAACTATGATTGGGATATTCATAGTCCGTTCTTATTAGACCATCTGAAATATATTATTTTAAAATGTTAATACTGTTCTGTGATTGTCAATTGTCTTATAACATTTCAAAATTATACTTAAGTTTTAAATATAAGAACCAATTATGTGTGTGTGAGTATCGATTTAATTTGTACTTCTTTCTGTGAATATTCTGGTATAATTTTTAAACATTTGAAATAAACATAAATAAGCATTTTTAATCCAGCTGGTCTATTTGATTCAAAATGTAATTTATTTTCTTACTAATATTTGATTGAAAATTAGTATTTGCAGATTTTATCTGTTAATGTAATATACTTTTTCTATGAACATTTTTTATTTTTTTATTAGAGTTTTTTAGTTTTATTAATTCAACCGATATGATTGTATAATAAATTTAAATAGACCGACAGAGTTAAATAAACATCTTTGACAATATTGACATAATATTCGATATATACTTTATAGATATTTGCCAAATTTTTTGATATCTAATTGTGGATTATATTATAGTGACTAATTAAGTGACAATCTTTTTAGGAAAAGAAATATCCTCACATTGGATCAACTTACTTGTTGCAAATATGTGCCAGAATTGGACCAGTGTTGGAAAAAGAAGTGCCACCATGCGTTCGTGGAGTGATATCACTTCTGGGAGCAGGCAGACAATCCTTGCTGCGTACCCACGAAGGTATAAAATCACAAAAGTCTTAATATTATATATATTTATTAAAATTAATATTTTTTCGCATAATAAATGTTCACTTCTATCAGATATGTATACATATGGCAATTCAGATATGTATACATATGACATTCTGTTTCTGCAGATTCTACGCGCCATACGTACAACATTTTTGATTATTCGGGAAGATTAGGTGGAAAACCTTTTCTGGAATTGGCCGGTAGCTTATCAGTGCCTAATATAGGTGAGAAAGCTTGAGAATCATACGATTTGTTCATAAAAAATATATTTGTCATGTGCATTCTTGAACAGTAGTCTTTTGCTTTGTATGCAAAATGTAAAATGTAATATATAATTTCATCGTGCATATCTTTATGCTCAATAGTACATGTACTTCAAGGACGTGAGAATTCTGGCCCTTTGAGTCGAACGCAAGCTATACCGACAAAGTTTTACAGCAAAATGAAGTTGTATCGGCATACGTTGGGCCATTTATCTGCGGTGTATTGTGTGCTGTTTGATCGCACTGGTACATACATCATAACAGGAGCGGACGATTTACTTGTTAAAGTTTGGAGTTCCATCGATGGACGTTTACTCGCCACTTTCCGAGGCGCATCCGCGGAAATTATGGACATTGCAGTGAATTTCGATAATACTTTGTTAGCAGCGGGAAGTTTAGATCGAATAATACGGGTCTGGTGTTTCCAATCAATGTCACCTGTAAGTACACTATCATGGATATACATATATAATAGAATTACTTTTGTATGTATATGAAAATCATGTTTTATTCATAAATTATACTTTTCTCAAGGTGGCAGTTTTAACCGGGCATTCAGGCATGATTACGTCCATCAATTTTTGTCCAATAGTATGTAATGACGTTTATTATTTAGTTTCTACTAGTACTGACGGATCCGTAGCCTTTTGGTCTCATACAAAGAAATCGAACGAAAGAGCAGTATTTCAGTAAGTTTTTAATTTATCAGATATATAATTGTTTATATATATCTTTGTGTAATATTATTTTCAACTTGTATAAACATTTATATATATATATATATATATATATATATAATTAACATATTGTTCCTAATTGTTGTTATAGTACAAAGCCTATTCAATACCATGAAAAAATGAGGCCCGGTCAAGCACAAATGATTTGTGCCTCCTTCAGTCCTGGGGGCGCATTTATGGCAGCTGGCTCCGCAGATCATAATGTAAGAGTTTACGCAATGTTAGGAGACGAAGGACCACGCAGAGTCCTCGAGATCGAGGCGCATTCCGATACAGTTGATAGTATTCAATGGGCGCATAGCGGCTTAAAATTCATTTCTGGTTCTAAAGATGGTACTGCAAACGTATGGCATTTCGAGCAACAGCAATGGATACATAAACAGCTGCTCATGACAGCAAAGCTCCCTGGGTGTGCATTTATTTCATTTCTGATAAAGATTTCATTTTAAAAGATTTTATACATTTAGTACAGTGTTATAAAAAATAATTTATTTTCTCCTTTTTTTTTTTACAGAGAACCAGAAATGGAAGATGATACGAATAAAAAAGCGAGAGTAACCATGGTTTGTTGGGACGTGAGCGATGAATTTGTTATAACGGCAGTGAACGATTACACATTGAAAGTGTGGGGTGCAAAGTCGGGTGAACTGATGAAGGTTTTGCGGGGACATAAAGACGAGGTTTTCGTATTGGAATCGCATCCAATAGATCCTCGAATGATTCTCAGTGCTGGTCACGACGGACAACTTATTATTTGGGACGTATTAAATACAGAACCAATGGTATGTTTTCAAAATTTCGTCGAAGGGCAGGGAAATTGTGCCGTTTTTGATGCGAAATGGTCTCCTGATGGTACAAAGCTCGCCGCAACAGATTCTAATGGACATCTTTTAATGTATGGATTTGGATGTGGAGTAGAGAAACTAAAAATCGTAAGTTTCCATTTATATTATTTCATCTTGTATCATAGCATTTCCAAGTTATTTTAATTTTTTACACTGTTTTTAGGTACCGAAAGAATTATTTTTCCATACGGATTACCGACCTTTGATAAGAGATGGAAATAATTATGTTCTTGATGAGCAAACACAAACGGCGCCGCATTTAATGCCGCCACCATTTTTGGTAGATGTAGATGGGAATCCATATCCGCCAGCATTGCAGCGATTAGTACCAGGAAGAGAAAATTGTAGAGGCGAGCAATTGGTACCAAATATTGCAGTTGGTGCCGGCGGTAAGATGACAATTCATATACAAAATGATGTAAAATAATTACTGTTCTTAAAAAGTTCTAATAATCTTCAATAACAAAAAAAAATTATATTTAAAATTATATTTATTAAATTAGAACGAAAATTTCTATATTAAATAGGCATGCAAGAAGTTATAGAAGGTCTTCCAGAACAAGAGCCAAGGTCGAACATTGATCGATTGATCGAGGCTCTTGCTCAGAGACAAAATATCAATGGAGAAGCCGCCGGTGCTGGCGATGATAGGGAGAATAACGTCGCGGAACAACCAATCCGTCAAATAGCAAGTCCTCGCGGTAGTAGAGCTGGTTTGAGGAGAGAGGGTAATGTTGAAGGTGTTCGGCAAAGCAGTGGTAATTGGCAAAGAGATAATACTACTCCATGGAATAAACCTATGCTCGCGCGTCCCATGAATCCAGCTGTAAAAGAGACTCAGTTTAAAATGATGTAAATATTACATGGATTTTTTAAAGTAATATAAGATAAATAACATTAGAAGGGCAACAAATTTTATAAGAAACTATTTTAAATGAATTTATTTTTTTATTCTTATTTTATTATTGTTTTTATTTTAATACATTAGTATGTTGAATATGATATCAATATTAATGTTAAAGAAGAACATACTTAATTCTTGAATTAATTCACAATTTTTTTTGTTATTTGTAAAGTCAAGCAATGGCTGATATGGAATTAGATAACTGGCGGCGGGAAATGCGACGGCGGCCACAGCCTACCTCGAGCACTGCCACTAATCAAGGCAATATAGGAAATAAACTTTTAAATCGCAAGCGTAATAGAACTAGGCACGGTTATAGAACTAGAGCAACGCGCGATGAAGAAGATGACGATGAATATGAGGTATTTCATAGTAGTCTTATTTGACTGATAAATATTTATTATGTTTGCCATATTGTAACGATAAATAGAAGAATCTACGCGTAATTTAACTAACCGTTGGATACTTTGCGTTTTTATAGAATCTTGATAACGCTGGCACATCAGCGAGTTCAGCCAGTAGCAATAGCAATGATTCCACCGCTCACGAGGAGGATATGTGCTCCGATAGCACTACAGAATCCAGTACTGAATATTCTGATTGGATTGCGGATCACGGACTGAATTTGGAGCCTCCCAAACGCAGTAAACGGAAACCTGTGAAAAAGCGATCTGTTACACCCCCAAGTGAGACGGACAGAAGACGCAGAAGGCGTCCTAAGAAAAAAGTATTGTTTATAGATTGTCACGATTCTTATGTTATTTTAATTTAACATTTTCTATAAACACTATCATCTTCAGGGAATACAAATAGCTAATGGTATTCGTGAAGTTCCTGAAATTTATCGACCTTCAGAATGGCTTACCGAAGTAATACCGAGGAAAGCTCCTTATTACCCGCAGATGGGCGACGAAATAGTATATTTCAGACAAGGTCATAAATTCTATTTAGATGCAATTAGGAATAAAAAGGTTTATGAGCTTAGTCCGCGGTGCGAGCCATGGACCAAGATAAATATTAGAGTATGTTTAATTTATTTTAGGGGTATTTAAGGTTTTTAATTATATATGGGATTAGAATATTTTCTGTTGAAATTTTTAACGCTGGAGAGATATATATATAATCATATACTAATCAGAAATTTTATATTCTAGGCACAAGAGTTTGTAAAAGTAGTGGGTATTAAATATGAAATACGACCGCCTCGTTTGTGCTGTTTGAAATTAGCATTGATGGATGAGGACGGTCGACTTAGTGGACAGAATTTTACTATCAAATACCACGATATGGCCGATGTGTTAGATTTCCTCGTGTTGCGTCAAACCTTCGATATGGCATTAGCGCGAAGTTGGTCTGAGGGAGATAAATTTCGTTGTATGATCGATGATGGTTGGTGGATGGGACAGATTGTTGGAATGGAGCCATTAGATGAAGAGTTTTCAGAATCATTATTTATGTGCTTCCGCGTCAGATGGGATAATGGGGAATATGAACGAATGAGTCCTTGGGATCTTGAACCTGTTGACGAAGATAGTGAGTTCATTTAATTCGATATTACAGTTGTTTAACATTAAATTAATTAAAAGAATGAGTGAAACAATCGTAAAAGATAATTTTGATATAATGTATATTTTGATATGATTGATATTCTGCTGAAATTTGAACTTAAATTCTCTAATTATGCTGTATGCACTAATTGTTCGTTTAGGAGTCCCCGTAGAAATTGGTGGTGCTGTTCCCGTCTTACCGGAAGAAAGACAAGCGATACTATATCAACCTCACGCGGAGGAATGGCCAATGGGTGACAGAGAAGCGACATGTCGCCGAATTATCCGAGGCTTGGATCAAGTAATGAGTCTTGCAATTGCAGAACCATTCGTAGTACCAGTGGATCTCAGTCTTTATCCAACTTACGCTTATATTGTTGAATATCCAATCGATTTGTCGACTATAAAGGCTCGTTTTGAAAATCATTTCTACAGAAGAGTTACGTCGGCACAATTTGATGTTAGATATTTAGCAACAAACGCTGAACAATTCAACGAACCACACAGTCATATTGTGAAAAAGGCAAGAATAGTCACTGACTTGTGTCTGCGTATAATAAAGTAAGATATATTCTGTTGTACAAAAGTTGTTTTGTAGAATCTTCGTATATACTTTTACGTTATTTAAATAACATTTCTTACGCAGAGAAACTACTGATGTGGATGTTCCGGCAGTGTATCATCAGTTAAATGATACATACCACTCCTCCGAGTCGGAAGAGATAGATGTTGAGAGACCTTCAACCAGTAAAGTAAGGTCTAAGAGAAAATGTTCACTTTTGCAAGAGATTTCAAAAGACTGGAAGCTGGCGAGTCGCTATTTGTTGGAGACCCTGTGGCAATGCGAAGATTCAATACCTTTTAGGTATATCGAGAAGAAATTGAAGCATTCTTTTTTGTATCTAAAAGAATATGTAACCGATTGTTTTTTAGGGAACCGGTAGATACATTAGAACATCCAGAGTATCATCAAATAATAGATACACCGATGGACTTGCGTACTGTCAAAGAAGATTTATTAGGCGGCAATTATGAGACGCCAGCGGAATTTGCAAAGGATATGAGATTGATATTTTCGAACAGTAGGAATTATAATACCAACAAACGTTCCAAAGTAAGTTAATATAATATCTACTTTATCTTCATATATTTCCGCATTTCCTTAAACATTCAATATGTTGTTCATTCTATTTATCCAGATATATTCGATGACAATAAGACTTTCGGCCATGTTTGAGGAGCATATGCGTAGGATACTTACAAGTTGGAAATCAGCACATAAACTATCTGAAACTAAGAAAACAAAACCAAAAGGAAAGAAGAAGCAAAAGAAGAAGAAAAAGAAAACAAATTTAAGTAATGGAACTGGTACTTATTATTTATTATTTATTACTTATTATTTATTATTAATTTGTGTAACGCGATAAAATACAAATTTTATTGTGCAGGACCTTCCAAATCAAAATCTACTCTTAGCGATGAAGATGATATAGACAGTGAAGACGATTACGACGACGAGGAGTCGGGTAAAGAGCAGAAAAAGAAAGATTTTGACATATCTGCACCTGGTACGCGCGTGTACCTCCTTTTCCAAATTATCACTTTCATATTGTACATATATGACAGAAAGAATTTGTCAGATTTTGAGACTACTTCTAAGTAATACTTTCGATTATTTTCAAATGTTTTCAATAAAAAATTATTTTGCGATTTGTATTTTGAATTTAAAAAAGGATTATATTTTGATAAAAAAAAGATTAAAAATTAAAATCGATATGTTAATTAACTTATATTAACTATATTCATGTTATGTTAGATCACAAACTTTAACAAATTCGTTATGATATATCCTTATCAGTCCATAATTTTCAAATCAAGTTTTAATCGATATATTGAGATTGTTTTATCAATACTGATTGCAGCCTATCTTTATAATTTTGATCGCCTGAACCAGTTTTTTTTATAATTGCTAATCTTTATTTCCCTTTCTAGGACCATCGCGGATGACAAACGGTCATACGAAACGGTCTAATTCTGGGCCGTCAAGGCCAAGACTGAAATTGCGAATCTGCCGATCAACCGTGTCGAAAAAGCTGAAGGATAGTGATAGTGACATTAGTGACTCTGAAGTAACAACAGACACTGATAGCAGTAATAGTGCCCCAGTCCGAAGAACTAGAGCGAGAACAGCGATACCCAGTGTTAGTGCTGATACCGATTCTGGAGACGATTACACGCCTGGCGGTCGTAGCAAGCAGGTTCGCAAAAATCGCGGCAAAAATATTAAGAACGGTAAGCAATCCAAATCTAAAGTGAAATTGAACGTTGTTGCGAACGATGATGACGACGATGACGATGAGGAGTACATTGCGGAGAGCAAGATGATTGAAGACAACGAAGATGAACTTGCGTTGGAATTTTCAGAAGAGAGCGAAGAGGAAAAGATCATCAAAAGAGATACTAGGTCACGAAAGTTAGTGTCTGAGAATGTGCAGAACGTCCAAAAATATACTACTAATAATGGGAAAGACGATAATAGCGATAGCGAGAGCGAAGAAGATGACAATGATGAAGAACAAGAGGAACCAGAAGAAGAAGAAGAAGAAGAAGAAGAAGAAGAAGAAGAAGAAGAAGAGGAAGAAGAGCAGCCACAATTACAACGTAAGACTAATAGTCAAGACTCGGAGGACAGTGATTATTCTGACAAAAAATACAAATCGTCGCGCTCGAGCCGTCGAAAGCCGCGCAGTTCTATGGAATCAGAGGACACGAGGCAACATTATGGCAGCAGCAGACGATCCTCGGCTCGGAAGCGTCCTTATTACAATGAGGATAGCGACGACAGTACCACGATGCCAGTGAGAAACCGGCGTAAGATCAAGCGTCGCTCATACGCTGAGGATAGCGATGAGAGCGTGCCAGAGCCTGGCATTAGTATAAGTAGTCGAGGTCGTATACGTAAAATGACACCGCGCGCCCGCGCTTATCTTTTAGAATCGCCCTAACGGCATCTCTAGATAAAAATGACATTAAAGGATTGATAAGGATTTTAAAGACTGTAGTGTGTGCTGCGTATTGAAAACTCAGATCATTATCACTCGAAGAAACTGTCCAAAGAAGAAATTTTTAATCGTTCTTCTTGATCTTGAGGTTGTCTCGACGCTTGCTTCGTCGGCGCTATTTTCCATAATGTATGGAATTGCGATGCAACATGAATCTCCGACAGAGACACTGATGTAGTCTTAGGAGATAACGCAGTGGAAATTGGAGCGAGATATTTTATTTAGTTTTTTCTCTTACGCTCTTGATTAAGATGTTTACCTGTATAAAATATTACAATTGTCACAGAGCGAACCGTATCGGACGCTTCTGCTAAGTACTTCTATTTTTATGAAATAGCTTGAAGAAAGTGTTCTTTTCTTTTTATATTGACCTGTCGATTTGGACAATGCATTGGCTCTATGGTACAAACAGTGTGAACAAATACATGATATTTTGATCACTCTACCGTTTTATTTGCAGGTTCAACCAAATTAAATAACGATAGGTAAATCTATATAAAGTTCCACTTATTCTAAAGAAGATTATATCGAAAATTCTATGTATAATCGTGTTGTTGTACAGGTATAATGATTATCTTGTTAATCATCTTGAAAGTGTAGAAACAGTACAGTCTTCGCGAAAAAATGTAAGTTTATGCTTATACGATTGCTTCCATCGATTTCAAAAGTTTAGTTGACAAATGAAATTTTAATGTTATGACTAGAAAAAGGAAAATCGTGAAAATTATTTTATAAAACAGTTTTCAGTCTCATTAAAGCAACAAAGGTTGAACAATGCACTTATGAAATTTATCAAGTTATCCTTTTTAATAATTCTTCACATTATCATTGTAATTCATTGAGAGTTGAGCTCAAATTAGGACTCTTATTTCTTCACATATTGAATTAGAAAAAAAATTTCGATTTATGAATAAATTAAATAAATAGCTATAAATCTTTATAATTAAAAATAGCTATAAATGGCTATATAATTATTTGTTCCGTCATTTTTATTGGAAGTATACAACATTCGAGAAGAGGAAAAACCTTTAAAAGCCTTTTTATACTTTATATATTTTTAATAATTTTGATTTTTATTCAATAAAATTTTGATGTAACAAACAATTCAAGATTTCTCTTGAATGTAATTTAAAAGAGCTGCAATGAGACAATTAAGAATGTGCAAATTTCTAAACATGTTTTGTAATACCGTGAATTAGTATTTATTTTATCTACGAAAAATTTTCAAGAAAAAAACGTAATATCATAATATAATTAAAATGAATTTTTACATTATTCGAAAAAAAAGTTCTATGTACTTTGTTATACACAATGGTTACCTCCTTAGACAGCGGACTTGTAATTTGCATTTTTAAGTATTAAATAACGTGACATGTGCGATAGCGACAACAGTTTGTTGTTAGCATACGAAGAGAATTGATTTTATTTTCTTGAATGTGATGAACAATATTTGGGAGTACAACAAGGCATCTTTTCATTATTTTCTATTCTTCTTTTTTTCCTTTTTCTTCTTCCTTTTCTCTTTGCGAATCCTCCCAGCATTTTTGCTTCTCACTTAAGTTTATTGCACATCATGTGTAGAAAAGTGAGTCCGCGTGCGTGTAAATATATTGTATCCATTCGAAAGTAATTTTTATTTCTTCTTAATATTGATGTTGCATAAGACGAATTGTGTATATTATGATCTGTAGTTTGCGCGTGAAATAACAATTTTTTACATAGAATTTATACATCTGTTACAGATTTAAGAAAGTCATGCAATTTTAGAATTTTTCACGAAGGCAAATAGAGATGTTTTTCAGGTTTATATGACGCGAATTTGAATGGATCACGCATTACACGTAGTTATATAAATGATGATACAGAAGACAGTTGTGCTGCCAGCAGCTAACATCGTTTATCAGGATATATGCACAAACATCAGAAGTCTTGACTGTCTCGAGCCATTGTGATATTAGTTTAAGAATATTAAATATATGATAATGTAAATTATCAATAATTAGAATTATAATGAATATTTTTTTAATGACCTAATAAGAGTCATATCACATGTAGATTCAATAATAATGCATCTAGCCTTGGATTAATATTAATTTAACGATGTTAACTTTGGTCTTACTCTTAATAATACAATAATTAATATACTTCACGTGATGAACATCCAGGAATATAATTTCATGTATATATACTCCGTCAAAGATGCAGGAGGTACACAGGACTTAATATGAAGTAATTATGTTTTATGTACAGTTTGACACTTATCCTGTTGTGAAATCAGCGTGCTCTGTTATATACAATATGGTTTTTTGAAACCCACCGCCACCAATAAAAAGATTAAATTATTTTATATATGTCTACTTGTGGATTATTTATGCCATTAATCTTAAAAATTTTATAAGAGGTATTAGTTTTTTTTTTATGCTTAAATTCTAAGCAGAATCGTAAAGCTTGTAATATAATCTCATAACACTTGTAAGAATTTAGTGTTTATAACTTTATGCGTATCTTTACTAGCTTCTTGCTAACCGTAAGATTCATTAGATATTTACGATGCCTAAACATCTTGCAATATATACGCATAAAATTATAGAACATCTATCTTAGTTTTTATGTCTTATAAGAACAAATTATAAGCCGTACAATTCTACTTAGAATTGATCTATCAATTTTGAAATTTAAAAAAATTCCATAGTCTGTCCCATTCAAATTTATTTTTATTTCTATTTAATTTAACTTGCGAATCGCTCTCAAAATTAATGGCTTATTTACGTTAAAATTTCAAATCTAAAATTATTTGCATTACATATTTCATGAATTCTAAATCAAACTTCAAAAACTTTATTTGCACGTATGATGAATTTAAAGACTTATTATAAAAAATTAATGGGCAGATTGACTGATCTAGATTCTATATAAGTATTTATAGATGTAAGATTTTATTTTTATAAGTTATTTTTATAATGAAGTTATTTACAAACATTAAGGGGCAATTTGTGGAAATTAAAAAAGACATTTCTCAGTTTTTGCATATTCATAATATACGAAATATTTTATTTTAATATTTCGCCTATCTATTACAGCTAAATTAGCAATACGAATATTGTATGAAGAGATGCTTACATGCAAAATGGTCTATTTCGATAATAATTTATAATTTTACAAAATGGCAGCCATATTTTCATGATTATGTAGTGAAAGTGTAACATCAGGATAAAATGGATAAGAGCGACTTTTCCAGTCACATACATTTTGGTTTTTGCAATTTCGAACGTTTCCATTATCCATACATCTTTGCTATACCTATCTATTTTTTGCTAGCATATATATATATATATTTAATTTAATATAAAAACAAAATGTCTATTTCGGAAAATGCGCGTTTTCTATCTCGCGAGAGAAAAACTAGAAGGTTGGAACATCTCAATATATGCATAACATCGTAAAACGATATTTTTGGAAGCCTAAAAGTTACTATTATATGGACAGGCTTCGAATCACTCTCAACAAAAATAAAATAACTTAAAAATGTATATTTTCCAATAATTAAAGATGAATTGCACCGTAAAATATTGGATATATATCTGGATATTTCAGCTTCAGAAGAAAAGTTTTCTAAGAAGAGAAGAAGCTTTACTCATTGGACATCTTCGATAAAATCAACTTGTTATTCCAAGCTTAGGTCCATTCATAGTCAATACTTGATCGATCTTATCCCACGGAATGCCATAATCTGCTGAGAGATACTCAGGCGGAAGCTGAATACTGTTCTTTAAGCCTATGGAATTCGATTTCCTTCTGCAAGTACTCCTTGACGAAAGGATGCTCTAAGTGAGAATCCTTCAACTGACTTAAGTAACGATTTGCCACTTCCGGCGGTTTGCCCATATGCTGCGAGAGCACAATCATATTAATTAATGTATCTGGATTATTACTATCTTTATCAAGAGCTTCTTGCAAAGCCATTTCTGCCTCTTCATACTTCGCTTGTCCAATGAAGCAAGTAGCCTGACCGTTCAGCAACATACTCGTACTGGAATGCTTGTCGATCATTTCCTAAAATAGTTTACAATTGAATAATATCAGATAATTTTAAATAAAGCATACAAAAATTCAAATATAAAATATTCTCATACATCTCAAGGAATCAACAGTTCGTCTTTTCTTACCTGAAAGATATAATAAGCATCTTGCAGCTTGTCACCACCGCTACTAATGTTAATCCACGCCTGAGCGAGTTGAGTCAAGGTATCGTCATCATCTTTCTCCTGCATCGCCTTGAGTTCCTTGCGTGCCAAATCCAGACGATCCATCTTGAGATATATCTGTAACGTTAGCGCCATACACTCCAGATTATCAGAGGCGCATATTACTCGGTGAGCTGCCTCCAGATTCTTCTCATGATAGTAAATGGTCGCGGCCACGATCAGCAGAATATGGTTATCATAATTTACATTCTTAGTTTCCTTATCCAATTCAGCCACTATAGTTTCTCGACGATGTGGATTGGCGAAATAGTCAGCTAGAGTCTTCAGTGGCTGTAATTCTGGTGGGGACGAAACATCGATTTCGTCTAGCACCACACGGAATTTCCTCTGCGCTATGTATGCGCGATAAAGGAAAACATTACGTTCCATAGTCACTTCTGGAACGGATGTCTGTAAACAGAAATAAAACTTATAATAATAATATATATTAGTATAATTGTGAAATAATCCAGACAATACATCTTGTCTAGACAAATTCTTTATGATATCTTTTAGATATCTTTTAGACATGTATGATATCTTTTAAACATGCATATTGTCTGGCATAGTTTATTTTGTAAATTAGACAATATTACTAAGCACAGTATGAAAGATATATTATAGAATTATCATACTTTTCTTTCTTATTCATAAATTCATATTTGGAGTCAAATTTTGCAAAAATTTGCTTAAAGAGAGTACTTGTCTGAATGTATATGTGGAATTTTAATATTTTGACAGCAACATTATCAAGTCCAAGTTCAATTTGATTTTTAATAATAAAATCGAATATAACATGAAAAGTTGAGTGACATATATCATTTTGAATTTGGAAAAGTTATATCAGAAAAATGTCAACGAGACGAAAGAGAATTTGTTGGAATGGTGATGACAGCCGTTTGAGAATTCAAACGGAGTATGCAACGTGTGGCATCACATCTGCAAGATACCACAGACAGGATGGGATAACTTTACCTTGATCTTCTGCGCCTCGTTGATGCATTGCTGATAATTACCGATGTAGAAATTATTTTTCACATTGAACAGATCGTTGAAGTCCTGCTGACGTGCCATCTTGTCGCTCATTGTCGCCCCGTGAGTTCCGATATAGGCTATGTTCCAACACAAACTACTAGTATTGGGACTGGAACTTGGGGGAGGGCTGGCCCTGCTGGCAATACTGAAAGACTATTCTTATTCCACAATTGTTATCACGTTATCAGCGCATAGCGCATTGCATTTAATAACATCATAAACGTTGTTGCAGACCTCTGAAACAATTATAGAAACATAATTGATTAAATAATGTAAATGACATAATATGTATTTATATTTAATTTATCATTATTTATCTTTACTGAAGCGACTTCAATTAACTTGACTTAAATTAGCCGATGATTAATTAAATCAGGAAAATTTCTCATTGTTCTTGTGATCTAATCTTTTTGCCATATATTAAATTAAACAATAATAATTTTATCTTATGTTAACAAAATAATAAAAATATTTACTTGTATTCAATTTAAATAGCAGATTAAAGTCTAATTCCTATTTTCACTTTTCATGTTAAGTGTTAAGATCTCATCTACAATGGTTACACAGTCTGTGTCACAAATCGCGAGTTTGTTACGACAGCCAATCTGATACGACAGCCACGTCTTCTTCTTCTTCTGATTCTTTTTTGGTTTTCCAATTCAAATAAATCTGATACGTCAATAATAAAATTGACGCTTCAGATTGGCTGTCACATAAATTATGTCCTGCGATATTTCTTGTGCGATTATTGTATATACATAAGATCTAATGTAGAAAGGAAACTCTGTAGTTTTAAGACACGATGACGACGTCATCATCGATGCTGGATTCGCGACTATTTTCAGTTCAAAGGAAAAAGTTGGCATCGACAGTTTACGAAAAAATCTAACAACGATCTAATAACACGTATTTAACAATTAAGTATCGACTTTCAATAAAAAATTTAGAACTGTGAGGAAAACATGAATTCTATTGAGTCGAGAAATCAGCAATATCATGAAAATGGATATCATGAAAAATTTAATGATAAAGGTTTTTATTTAATTTATTTGATTTTATTTAATTTTTTGAGTATAAACAAATTTTTATTATATGTATTTTATATTATATATTACATTTTTGAAAATAATTGTTTATAATATTTATACTTTTTTTACATTTATTTTCTTTTTTTTTTTTCAATTGTAATTTTATTTGCATTAATAGAGGAAAGGCCTCTATTATGAGACATCGAATTCATTTTGAATACTAGAAGGCAGAATTTTAAAAAATGATAAGTCATTTTTAAAGGAATTCAGGGTATAGTCAACACGATGTTGCAAACGCTTTGAAGCGTTTTTTAATTGGTCAGTTTGTAAAATTCTTTCTTCTAATTAGTCCATCAAATGCTTCAAAGCAGTTTTGTAGCGAGATTTTGATCACAGCCTTAATAAGTTTTAAGATAACGTTATATAAAATTTAATTCAACTTCCATTTTTTTTGGAAAATTAAAGAAATGTAAAAAGTGAGCAAATCGGAAAGTCGAAAAATTATGCTCTTAATATGAAATGCTCCGAGAAATCGATAGTAAAAGTATATCAATATTGCAATTAAAAAAACTTTATTTAATATTTCTAAAATACAAACAAACAGTCAGTGCGAAAAATGAGCATGCGGTAGATTATATCCAGAATTCGTCTTCAGATAATTGGAATCAAGCATCGCAGAAATAAGCACTTTACGTTTATTCTGTTGTCTTTTTTATTGTACAATAACATTTATACTTTAGCAATGATTTTTACTATAACATAGGAGCATGGATTATTTCATATTAAATTAGAAATACTCTGGGTATCTCATATTACATTTTTCATGTCTTGATTTTACGATCATCAAATTTAACTTCTGTAATTAAATAATTCAACATATCCCGTATTTTTCTATTAGTATGATCTTCTCTCTATCACTACATAAATTTATTGTCAAATATTTATTTATTAAATAATAAACAAGATTTAAAGGCTCAACTCAATGAAATTTGAAGACATTCAAATTTTAAAATCTTGTTTTATAACTATGACTATAGGTATGTGATCTAATAATGAATTTTCTACTAAATAGTTTTCAATCCAAGAGCAATAAAGTCATGGTGAAATCAATAAATAGCGTTTATTAGTTCAGCAGAAATCACATATTAGGCGCCTATCTCATAAAAGGCTTTCCTCTATGTATTTTCTATTTTGATTTTATGAATTAGTTGTAGATAAACCCTTTGAAGAAAATCATAAAGACGAAGAAGAACAGAAGGTGAGAATCTCGCAGCTAAATATTTAGTATAATCAGGTCAATAAAGATTTCTACTGATCCAACAGTTTCATCATTTCTAAAATTATAAAAATTAATTTTAGTCATATATTCAAAATTCTCATATCTATTTTATTAAAACATTTTTTTTAATATATATAGAATACAGATAAATCATGGAATGCATTTTGTTTTTTTTTTAAGCTTCCAAGAACACACCTGGAAAGTATAAAAAATCCTTGTCAGATAACACATGAAATACATTTTGTTGAAAACTTGCGTGGCCTCTACAGCACGCGTTTTTCTAAAACTGGTGAAGTTATAGCTGCAGGTTTTGGATCCGGCAGTATTCAGGTAGGAATTTATTATTTCGGTTTGTGTAAGATACATGATTTAATAGAAATTGTTATAGCTTATATTTGTCATTACATGTTATTATAGCTTCGAAATGGTGAAACTGGTGAGTTAGAAGAAACGTTTAAATCCGGAAATTCCATGCCAATCACGTGCTGCAGATTCAATCCAGTTCACAGCGAGATCTTCTATGCTTCCAGTGCCTGCGGAATTATTTTCATTTGTAACACATACACTAAAGAGTTCTCCCAATTTGTATTCGGTAGATGAATGATGTTCAGTTACATTGCACACAATACTATATTCCTACTTATATTTATTTATGTAGAACTAAAGAATGAGATGAATACTATAGATGTTAATATCACTGGAGATTATTTGGTTTCTGGTGGTAAAGACGCAGCTATTCGACTTTACAATGTAAAAACTACTCAAGTTAGCATTAATAAGTACATTATTATGAAATATTTATTTTATAAAATTATAGTTTCAATAATAATCGATTTACTTACAAATGCGTCTTTTAAAAATTTTTGTTAAAATTTTTATCAACATGAAAATGTTATATATTTAATATATAACATTCTTAATAAAAATATATTTCAGTTGATACAAATGTACAAAAAGAATAAAGAAGATCTGACTGAAAGTAAAGCCACAAATTTTCATCAAATGAGGATATTTGCAACACGATTTCACAAAGAATATTCCGATCTAATTATAACTGGAGGCTGGGATGATACTGTTAGAGTAATTCTTGAAAAAATGTATAATATAACATAAAAATGAATAACATAAAAGTGTTACATTTCTATAACTGTAAATACTGATATAGTTTGTTATAATACAGTTTTATCTAATATAATTCATAAATATCACAACTATTATATAAGCATACAATATATAAGTTAAACATTTTGTTTAAATTTATTAACAACAGAAAACTATGTTATAAGAAGAACTTTCTGCAGATTTGGGATATCAGAGTTCCGGCCGGTTCAGTGAGAATTATTAAAGGGCCTCATATATGCGGTGACGCCATTGACATGCATGTAAAAATATTTTTATTATATATCAGTGCAATTTGATATCTAATTGTCGATTCAAGTTAATATAAAAATATACTTTTCTATATTTTAGAAGACGTACATCCTAACAGGCTCCTGGATAGTGCGCGATAGTCTGCAAGTATGGGATTTAATGAGCGCGAAACTCATTGAAACAATAAATCCGTATAACAGACTGCCGACTTTGAACGGTGAGTTCCTTTATGCAGTGCAATATTTTGATAAGGATCCTGATGATCTCGTCCTAGTTGGAGGTTCCGGTATTAATGGAGTTGAAATAATTAGTTTAAGTGAAAAGAAGGTTTGTGATCAATTATTTGCAATATTAGATTCAGATTATTGCAAAAATAAAAAAAATAATCGTATTTAAATATAAATAAGATAAAATATTTTTGATTAATTTTAAGGAACGAATAACAATTTTTTCGTACAGTAAAATAATCTTTTATGTAATAATTATTGTTAAAGTAGAATTTATAGATAATATATTTTATACAAAAAGATAATATATTTTTAAATAAACATTAATAACATATAATAAATATCAAGTAGCAGTGCGATAAAATTTAAGTTTTTGATATTAAATTCTATTTTTTCAATAGGTAATGGGAAGCTTCAATGCAAGCAAGTCAATATTCACTATAGATAGCTACCAAGCCACAGTAACATTTGGTGGCATGGAATCTGTGTTAAAGATTGGAAATTATAATTTTATCAATGAAAATTTATTGTAAAATCTTATTATATAATATAATTTCAAATAATATGAAATATTATGAAATGTAATAAAGTATTGTGCAAGCTTACTGATAAGTCAATATAAACATTTAAAATATTTTGAAATTAAATAATTCTAAAATTATTGATGAATTCTATAAAATTCATATCGGTTTTTTCTCAAATTAAAACATTGTATAAAATTAAGTCATCAATTGCTAACTTCGAGCTAACTAACCCTGATTAACTTAATCAAATAATGTAATACCCATTCTATTACATATCTACATATAATATAAATATTATTAATTTTTTATTGTTTATAGAAAAAAAACATCAGATTAAGATCAATGAATCATATGTTAGAAATTTTGACCGGTTTTACAAGTTGAATATATTCATTGCTATATTTCAATAAATTAACTTTATAATCTTAGTTTAATTTTCTTTTTCTAATTCTTTCTTAAAACTAAAAAAATAAAAGAAAAAATGCAAAGTATTACAATGACAAAAATAACACGAAATAAAATATGTAGTCATTGTTCCAAATAAAAGTCTGAATACTTCGAATATGGTCACGATTGGTCCATTTCACGTGATAACCATCTATGGTGTCGAACAGTGAATGGATTGAATGTGCGTACCAGGCATGCGTAAACATAATTGAAATGCAAAATCCTAAATGCATCTAGAATTATAGTTGGCTACACTGCAAGATGCGAAAAATCGGGAAAAATGGACGCCGAGAGTGAGTGTATCGCTTTTATCTGAACCCTCATCTTGGCAATAAAAATTGGCAAAAATGGGCAATCAATTAGTGGGCATTGCGCCCAGCCAAATATTTCCGGTAGAGCACTATTTGACAGATCACAGTGATTTATTATTCGACGTCAAGTAAGTACTTAATCGAATTATTCCACCTTACGTGTGCATACGTCTGCTAGTTAGCACTGTCAAGAGCATTGTGAAGCCGCGTGTTCAAGTGATATTTCATAATAATAACAGCCTGTTGTTAATACTTCGTGATATCTCTATTATTTGCAATCAATATTAACAGATACATATACATTGTAATCAGGTGTCTACACAATGTTCTGTTTCTCTTTAAATCAGTTGATATTGACAATATTATATGTGGATAATTTAATAAATCAGTGACTTTTAAAAAGGAGATGTAAAAAAAATTAATCTAATTTTAATTTTTAAAAAAAGTTAAAGTCACTGACCTATCAAACTCCTCATAAGTAACATAAGAATATTATAAGTAAAATATTTTAATAATGCTATATGTGTAGAAAAATTTGTGATATTTATGGAAACCTTGAGAATATTATTTAGAATTAACTAATGAAGTGATATTAATTTAAACTGTTGATTTACAATACTCCTTGTTATTTATAGTTTAGGAAGCACTAGATTCTTCAAAGTGGCTCGGGCTCGTAGTCTGGAAGGGCTGATAGTTGTAAAAGTATTCGCAATTCATGATCCAACATTGCCATTATCTACTTATAAGGACAAGCTGGAGGAGATCAGGTCAAAGTTAGCCTCCGCTGTCAACTGCCTACCGTTTCAACGAATGATTGTAAGCATTGTAACATAGAAATACTATAAACATTGCTTATTTTAATACAATTAGAATTAATTGTATGCTTGGATCAGCTCACAGAAAAAGCAGGCTCAATAATGCGGGAGTATGTCAAATATTCTCTTTATGACAGGATCAGCACTAGGCCATTTTTAACGAGCATAGAGAAAAAGTGGATCACTTTCCAAGTATTATACGCTCTTAATCAAGCCCATAAGGTAAGGAATATATGTGAATTTATAATAAAAAAAGGAAAGCTTCAAACATGCTATAAAGAGAATTATTCAAGAGTCTTCTAATTAACTCAAATAGCTTGTCTTAAATCTTATTTATAATTTCTTGTTTATTTAAATAATAAAATTTATTGTTTATGATTATAATTTTTAAAAATAAATATTTTTTCTTACAGTTCGGTGTTTGTCATGGTGACATAAAATTAGAAAATATTATGATAACTAGTTGGAATTGGGTATTACTCACGGATTTTGCTAGTTTTAAACCAACGTATTTACCAGAAGATAATCCTGCGGATTTTTCGTATTTTTTTGATACTTCCAGAAGAAGGTAAAATCTTTACCAAAGCCATTTTCTTTCTTTCTTGTTTCAATGGAATAATTTCTAATATTTTTTCAGAACATGTTACATAGCACCCGAAAGATTTGTAAAAACATTATCTTCAGAATTGAGCAATACATTGTTATTACCAGAACAAGAAGTAAAGACAGGTGATTTGCATCCAATGATGGATATTTTTTCTGCAGGTTGTGCTTTAACAGAGTTGTATAACGAAGGACATCCACCATTCGATTTTTCACAACTTTTAGGTAAGTATATCATATTTTTATAAATTCTCTCATTCTTTTCGTTGAATTGTTAAAAAATAAGTATGAAATAAAATGTAGAAAATGAACAAACTTACAAACTCGAATTTTATTAATATAATGTTAATATTTAGCATATAGGAACAACGAGTATTCTGTGAGTAAGCACTTGGACAGTATAGACGATCCAGGGATACGTGAGCTGCTTAGTTCAATGCTGGAAAGAAATCCAACAAATAGGAAAAGCGCAGAGATCTATTTAGCTCAAACTCGGGGTACCATCTTTCCAGAATATTTTTATTCTTTTCTCCAATCTTACATGCTTATTTTCTCTGCGGCTCCGATTTTATCACCAGACGAGAAAATAACACGGTTGAAGAAGGACATTGGCAATATTATAAGTATACTAAAAGCGGAAGATAATGAACGGATGAAAACGAGTGAAACAAAGCCTATAGAAACCGCAAAATCTGGTCAATGTGAGAGTAATGTGGAATCAATTAAGGATGATTCTGGTCATAGCGAAGAAAATACGATGATAGAAGTTGACAGTGATCAAAGTTCCGATAAGACCGATTTAAATCAAATTGATGTGAAGAGCACAGCACAAGATATTGGCAGTGATATTCAAGTAGACACGGAGCCAGAAATTAAGTCGTCCGAAGATAGCAAACAAACTTGCGACGCGGAATCTAAGAAGTCAATTTCTACCTCGAGTGAAATTCTAGAAGGGCTTGTTATCATAACTCAACTTGTCACATCTTGCATAAGAGGATTGCATTACTCGCAATCCAAATTGCATAGTTTAGAGATATTATTAGAATTGGCTGAAAATGTTTCTGATGAGACAATTCTTGATAGAATATTACCTTATATCGTAAGTATTAAAAATGCCATTTTTTAGAAATTTTTTAAATCATTTTTAAATCACAAAAAATAAATAGAATGTTACACAAATTTGTATTTATTGAATTAAAAAATGTTTTAACGTGAATAAATTATAATTTTTTATTTTATATTATTGCTTATATATATTTTTAAAAATGTTACTTAGTTCCATTTGGTTCATGATCCGGCGCCGCGAGTGAGAGTATCGGCGATACATACTTTAACAAAATGTTTACATCTTGTAAAATCGATACCATCTTCGGATGTAAACATATTCCCTGAGTACATTCTACCAGGTCTAGCGCACATAACTCAAGACGAAGCAGTTATTGTTAGAGCAGCTTATGCAGAGAATATTGCTCATTTGGCGCACATTGCTCTGCGTTATTTAGAAAACTCTCATCTGTCTAACTTGAATAACAAGGAAGGACCAAAACCCAGTTACGATAGCGAACTACAAACCTTGCATGAAATGGTATAAATATTTTTCATAGTTCGTAAAAGATTAAAACGACATATTTTCTGAAATTTTTTCGTTTTTTGAACTATATAACTGAAATACCATCGATTAGCTTAATAATGCTTTGTTGTGTCTTTATCTTTTATTTAGGTTCAACAATCAGTATCCATGTTGTTAACAGATCCCAAAAATTTAGTGAAACAAACGTTAATGGAGAATGGAATAAACAAATTGTGTGTGTTCTTCGGAAAACAGAAAGCCAATGATATTTTACTTAGTCACGTTATCACGTTTTTAAATGACAAAGAGGACAAAGAACTGAGAGGCTCTTTTTTTGAATGCATAGTCGGTGTAGCCGCTTATGTCGGTTGGCATAGTAGTCCTATATTAATGCCACTTCTGCAACAAGGTTTATCCGATCCTGAAGAATTTGTAACCACAAAGGCCATAAATGCTATGGCAACACTTACAGAATTGGGTCTGCTACATAAATCTGCTCTTTATCAATTATTATCAGAAACTATGGTCTTCCTGGTACGTTATTGTCATAAAAATTTTGATATATGTAATGATTCAAGTTACAACATTTCTAAGAGATTTTTTACTAATTTAAAACATTTTCTTATTGACAAAATTGAAGTTATAGGATTTTGTTAAAATTTTGATAAATTTCAGAACATTATTTAAAATAAATTCTTTGAAAATAAAAAATTAGATAATATAAAGATTAAAAATTGGACAATACACTTTTTTTAAAAAATAACTAGTTTAAATTTAAAAGAACTTTACGTATTAGTGTAATTAATTTCCACTGTCATTTTTTTTTATAGGTCCATCCAAATCTTTGGATACGTCATGCAACCGTCGGCTTTATTTCCGCGGCAGCAAGAACTCTGAATGTGGTGGATGTCCAATGTAAAGTTCAAACGATGCTCCAACCATATCTGAAACATTCATTAATCCAAATAGAAAAGGAGATTTTATTGCTCGAAGCACTTGTTCCTCCTATATCTAGAATCGTATATGATTCCGTGGTGAAGTATAATGATGTAGAAGAACTATTTCAAGTACTTGAACAGAGGCAGGCAGCCAGAGCAAAAGCCATAACAGATGTGGTATCACCGCAATACAACGACATGAGTACTTCTTTAAAAAATGTAAATAACGTTTATATTCAATCTTGAAAATAACATTGAAAAGAAATTTTACTATATTGCCAGAAAATTAAATTTTAGAATAAAATGTTGCGTTATACCGCACGTACCATGTAGCGAAAAAATTAAAATAAAGATATATTGTTTATTACTGCAAATAAAGAAGATTCAATACAAAAAGACAACTCTTTTTAGCTTTTTAGGCGATTAAGTTCGGAATCGATGACTGAAGCAGTTGAGGATCAATTGCTGATCATGAAACCTCACTTGATGAAGATCAACAAGTACCGCAATTCCGCGGACACGAAGCAAAATGCTATCAAGCCCATAGATGGTAAATTGGAGTTAAGTCCAATGAAAGATAGGATAAGACATCATGTCGTCGTATTATATCCTGATACTAAAGGAGATTTAACCCTGCCACCTTTCAAGAGATTGGATCGAAGAACATCGGAGACTGTTGGTACATATGCGACAATGAATCAAGAATGGCGTACGATGTTTGCAGCTCAAGATAATGCCCAAGTATTATATTAACCGATATCGATGATTCTTTGTTTTCTATATTGTCGTGATAATTCTATATTGTTCGTATTTTTTCTTATATTACTATGATAGCACGCTATTGTTAAAATGTCAGACATGACTGGAAGCAGTGGCAGTCCCAGCCAGAGTATACACAGTGGAGACATTCATTTATCTCCGCATCATTGCTTATCAGATATGACCAGCATTAATTCTCTCATGAATGATCATTCGCTTCACGAGCGATCTTATATACAATGTAAGCGAAATTAATTACAATACAACAAAATAATAATAAAAATAATAAATAATTAAAAAGTTAAAAATAATAAAATTAAAAAATAATATTTAATTTTTGTGTTTTATAAAATGATAGAAAAATATTAAAGAATAACAATTTTGCAGATAGATGTGCGCCCTGTCGGTTAGAAGTACGGCAATTAACGTACCGGAAGCAAGAGCAACATGCGGCAGTGTTAAGAGCAAAACGTTGGGCTAATAACATCGCCTGCGAAGCTGGTAAATAAAAATTAAATCTTTACAGATTACATCATGCTGTGTCGTATGAATATCATTCATTATCGCATTCATATGCTTCTTTATTCATTATCGATGTTGGCTAAAAGGCTCCACATCACTGCCAAAGGATTGGAGACCTCGAGGAGTTCCCGTCGCGCATCTTCACGAGCACAGAGCTGCAGTAAATAGATTAGTTTCGATACCGGACACTAACTTGTTCGCAAGTAGTTCCTCCGACGGATGTATTAAAATTTGGGATGCTAGTAAGATGGAGGGACGAAATATTGCTAATCGTTCTAGGTACTGTTTTTCTCTTCCAGAATTACACATTGAAGATGTTTTGACTAATTATTGTATTATTTTAAGTTTAAAATTTCGAGTAAGTTTAAAATTTATTATAATAATGTAATTATAATAATACAATATTTGTTTCTTGATGCTTTACAGGCAAACATATATGCACAGAGGAGGCCCGCTGGTTGGCTTAACTGTGTGCGACCAAGGACAATCTTTAGCAAGCTCTGCGAGCTCTTCTGGAACGGTATTCGTACTTCGGATTGAGCCAAACTCAAGTAAAATGAGCCTGATTGGCACTCGTCAATTGGATCCCCAGGTGATTAGAAAATATTCGCAATATAATATAAAAATTCAATGCATATGAATTTTAAAGAAATGTTTCTTGCAACTGGTTTGACAGGAAGAAGGAAGTGCTGTCGATCTACAATATCTAGATTCCGGCTCGCAATCAGTTCTTGTGTACGCTTCCTTGTATGGATCGCTGGTAGGTTGGGACCTACGATGTCCCGGCACAACATGGCGCTTAGAAAATGATTTAAAGCACGGAGTCATCACATCATTTTGCGTAAACAGTCATCAGCAGTGGTTGACTCTTGGCACGAGTTCCGGTATTCATACCTGTTGGGACTTGAGGTTTCAACTGCCAATAACGAGTATCAAGCACCCGACAGGTAGATTATCTCGTCTATTTTATTTTCTATTGATGTACCAGTTTCATTTAAAATAATTTCTAATAATGTTACTTGTACTATTTGTAATGCTATTTATCATTTCCTTCAGGCGCCAGAGTACGAAAGGTGATTACGCATCCGACAGAGCATTCGTGGATAATTTCGGCGGTACAAGGTAACAATGAAATATCTATGTGGAATCTGGAGACCGATCAACGACAGATGGTTCTATGGGCATCAAATGCCCCGCCATTGAGTCGTACTCAAGCTGGTCACACCGTATGTGCCATGTATACTGGATGCATCGATTGTTCGGGCTTCCTTTTAGCCGGCGGCACCGATATGCGATTACGCTTCTGGGACTTTGATAGACCTACTGCATCTTATGTTGCTCTGCCCGCTGCTAATGATGTCCTCACTCCAAATTCATTGGCATATGAGTTAGTGATTCATTACAAAATTAATCACTCAATATATTATTTATTATATTTTTGCTTAATAACATACGATATCGCTTTTCTGTTTACAGTTTACGTTTGATAGATGGAACGAACGTCGTGCAGGAAGTATTGGTGGATGACGATTCTAACCCGTTGTCTGGAAGTGACACAAGAGGAAGAAACATGGAAGAGAGTGGACCCGAGACTCCACCCTCCGGTCAGCACGACACGATCTCCGCTGTGGCTATGTCGAATACGTGTATTCTCACCGGCAGCACAGACGGTTTGATACAAGTCTGGAAATGATTGTTCTTCTCGGTCCAAAATTCGATTACAAAGTTCCTCGCACAGGCGATAAAAGATTTTACCAGTGTAATGCGGAATTTCTTCCCGATAATAACGAAACCATTGTGATCCAAGTAAGAAATAAGTTATTTTAGAATTCAGATAAATTATCCAACAATGCCGGACATTGATCGTGATATAATTTATTTAAGGGTAGTCACGCGGAGGAATTGTGATGGCAGTAATTATGATATAATAATTCCCATTTTGACAGAAAGCTTTGACAAAAAATATTTTTAACAATTTCGTATCATTGATGATAGGTCTTGTTGGAAATTAAGGTATTATACTGTATCTCACTTTTAAAAAAGTTAACTCTACAAATCAAATTATTTATTTTCATCTTTGTTTCATATAATTTTTATAAAATTGAAAATCTTATTTCTAAATATAATTTTATAGATTAACTATAGATGAGTAAAATTCTCTCAATGTATTTAAATGAACTTTATATACAATTTGCTTAGATAATGTATTAAAATTGCTTTTATTGCTTCTTTAACTACAAATATCAACGTACACACAACACCGCCGTGCTGTACCGAACTCTGTGATCCTGGACTGTATATAAAGCATGTAATATACATGATATTTAAGACTATGATTACAATTATGCTACGAAGGCGTGCATTTTTTTTTTTGTTTAAAAAATTTGAGCGTAAACTTACAATGTAACATATATAATGTATATAGCTTATTTTTATACGTAAGACAAGAAGAGAGAGAGAGAGAGAGAGAGAGAGAGAGAGAGAGAGAGAGAGAGAGAGAGAGAGCTTGGAATATTACTGATTTGTAGGTGATGACTTAGAAAGTCGATGTTACACAGATCGATAGATAAGTCTTTGAACTATATCTAAGTTAACAGATATTAGTGGATCCGTATGCGTACTAAAAATTTAACTGAAAGATAAATAAAAGTTATACTGAAGATATGAAGTGACTTTGCATGATAGAACACTCTTAAAATGAAAAAGAAATCTAGAAATTACATTTTACAGCTTTCGATCATATTCTTTAGCTTTGTTTGGAAACTCTGAAAATTATTTTTGACAGTACGATATGGTTTCTAATTTCTTTTTCTTGTTTTTATATTTAATAAGTGCGAATACGGACCGAGAAGCGAGGAGTAATAAAGTTCGCATACAAAAAGATGCAATTGGCGGATAATTATTTCCTCGCTTCATATTTGATGAACGCATACGTAGCTATATGTAATCACGAATATTTGTATGTATACTAGCATTATGTTGCTAACATTGTCACGAACACATACGTACACGCATACTGACTGAAATACTCATAATCGGTGGACGTATACTGTCTAAAACTATGTTGTTACAATAAATTCATATTTTTAACGCACGATATCTTCTCACTTGCGTTTGGCACGACAGATCGGAAATCCGACCGGAAATTTCTTTTACCATGGACAAACAGGTGCGGCGGGATAAGGCACGCGTCCTGGGAATGCATATGAATCCGCATTTATAGTCCTACAAATTTGTTTCCAGCGCTCCTTACCACCTCTACTTTGACGATACGGGCCATTTGCATAATATCCGGTATTTCGATTGTCGTAGGACTGCTGAGGAAACCATAGATCAAGCCAGGGCTTACAAGAAACTAAACTGATCAGTAATAACAGCAGAATGATTAACTTCATTTTACTCTATTACTTGAAAACTTTGGTCATAATCTTTTAACAATCTTCTGATGATCTGGAAGGAGAAAGATTATTTTCTATTTTTGTGAATATTTTAAATACATTGTGTTTAAATTTAATCGTTTAGTTTTGCATTATATTCTAGAATTGTATTTTAATTCTCAAACAGAAGTGTAAAGGATATTTAAAACTAAATTCGAAAGATTAATTTTGTAATCATTTTTTTTTAATTCTTGATATTTTTATAAAGATATAATTCATATATCTTTATATTTACAAATCATTAATTTAAAGTAAATTTAAGCAGAATTTTGTTGAAAAATTTAGATTTGTTTCATTCGTTTCTTGAGATTGAAAAGATAACTATATTTCTTACTGTTATTCAGTTTCCTTCGGTCTCTCTGATATCCGTGATGATACAAGATCTATTGTTGCGAATATTCTGCAAATAAAAAACAAAAGTTCCATTAAAATCCCGTTAACAGTTCGATTGCAGTTAACGCTCGCTGATTTTATCACTTCTGACAGGTGTCTCAAGCGCACTTAGGAAAGGAGATATAAAAACGCTAAAGTGGATATAAAAACAGGGACAACACGCGTTCACGCACCAAAAAATCACATAATGAAAGTCGTTGCGTCACGACGTCAATGTTTTCTTTTACACTTTCTGAATTATGGGATTAATGACGTCGTTTTATGGAAATTCCAATATCTTATTGACTGTATTGTTATTTATTTGAATTTGTTCTCTAACTAATGGAAAATAATTAACGTAGCATCTCTAATAATTGTACTGAATATAATAATTAACTTCTACCTAATCGCAAGCAACTGTAACAAGCACTACTGCAATGGAGAGATACTGGATGCTTACTGCTGATTTATATACCACTGGCCTACCACCCTACCGCTCAGAAAAATGCGCGGTTGGTGATGAATCTGCGTTGTCTTTTGAATAATCTTGGGATACTGAATGCGTATGTGTTCAATCGGCTTTAGTAAGAATATACAGCAGTCTTTCATAAGATCATACATAAATTAAAGGGAAAAAAACATAAAATGATGCATTACAAATCTGAGCTTATAGTTACAATTCATATAATTGATATGTAATTCTATTAGAATCTAATTGAATCATTAATCAAATGGATGAACAAAATTATTTAATTCTATTAAATAATATATTCAATCATTGGTTTTTTAAATCTCTTCCGCGATCGTAGATTTTGGTATCATTTTATTCTTTTGATATCCTAGAATCACTTAATTTTGCATTTATCCACATATGATTTGTCTTACAATATTTTGCATTACAGATTCCCAGATTTACATTCATGACCGATCGAAATTTGGATGATACGGGATGGATTCTAGCTCCAATTATGTCTAAATCCTTTATTATTTTTTCATGACGAGAGTATGATCGAGCCGCTGAAGAGATTTCATATTCTAATGAATTCTGCCTCTTCACGATTATTTTAGAATTCAATTTAGAATTCCGCACGTGCTGATAAAATGACGCATTTACTTGCGCGCTTTTGAACTTGGGGGAAGATTCTTTTTCACTGTCTTGGTCGTTCTTTATAACAATTTATATGCAACATTCGTAACTCTTGTTCGCTCTCTTGCTCGCGTATTCCGCGCACGCAATATCGTTTGCAGGGAATACAGGAAGATGAATGAGATACTGATATCATCATAATTACTCATTTGTTCGGTATGCTGCTACATCTTATGATAATAATATTTCGTCACGTGACTCTTTGAGATAAAGGAAGAAGAAAAGGAAAAGCCTTGTATGCGTTCTAATAACGATCATTCAGAAGACGCAAAAACAGCTAACTGCATCGATTGAGATTAGATCGGATCTTGATACGGTTCCTCCGAATTAGCATTTCAATGTTTAATTCATGGATCGCACTTTCAGACGTAGGCGTATCCACGAAATCCGGCGCTCTGCATGAAATAGTAATAATTTTGCATACGTAACGCGCCACCGGCATGTGCTTGCATGCTATTGCGTTCGATCATAAAAGTGCACTGCACCAAGTGAATTTCGCAGCATGCGTTTTTCTTCGAGATTACGAAAACGATCGCGTGACCTACATTATATTATGCACAGACTGATCTGCACGTGATATATTCAATCTTCGCATCCGATTCTTCCGTGCTGGCGCCAAACTTTATTGGGAGTTGCTCTACATCCGAATATTATGTCAAGGACGCCGCTTGCGAAGACAGTATTATCTTATCGGCGAACTTGACATATATATATATATATATATATATATATATATATATATATTATCGA